AGATCTTTTTTGATTCAACATATTGCTACTTTTAATGTATATTTAAATTTAAATTACAAGATATTTATTTAACTTTCAAATAATTTAAAAATATGTGTAAATTATAAATTTTTAAATCTTATATTTAATATCTGTAAATTAATGATGACCTATTATGTCATTATATGCGTCAAGAATAAACAAGAGTTAAAAATAGTCATGATAAAACCCTCAGCTTTATACGTGTTTCCCAACAACTTCTTCTTCATTAGCAAAACATTTAACACGAACTTGCGGACACGAATGTTTTATCAGGAAGCCGACATTTCCTGCGCGACCTCGAACCTTGGGCTCCGTCGATCCTGCATTGAAATTTCCCTTTGATCCGACTTTACAAACAACCGTACAAATAGGCTACTGACGCAACTAGGAGCGCGCCATCAGTCCGACGTAATAGTCGATAATTAGTCAGCAGTTTGCGCAACAGTCATTGTTAACTAATATATTCCGACAAACCGTTTGAAGATGTATTCCGCGGACTTCCGACGCGAGAAACACAAGCCGGAACTCCCGACATAACGAAGAAGCAAAAAATAACAAAGAGCTATAAATATATAAAGACGAGGCGTTTCTTTCCTCAACTTGTGTTCAGTTTTTTAAATAGACAAATAGTTCTATACATCTGTATATAAATATTGACTAATATAATGCCGACAATCACACGGAGAAAATTTTACATCAAATATTACTATGTACGCGCAGATTATGAAAAAATTATAAAAATTTTTATTATACTTTTCACATAATGGCCGTAGTATTTTTAAACTTATAATTCCTTTTCTAATCCGCGACTACTGACGTATCATAGTAATTTTTTATGTAAAATTTTCTCCGCGCACAAAATGTTCATGCATGTAGCGCTAAACGCAATTGCTTTGCCGTCAGCAAAACGTTTCAACCCTTATTCGAGTGTTTTTAACCTATTAAATATTGACTGATCATGGCAACTATTTAAAGAATCCTCTTTCTGGTGACTCATTCTGCATATGCACATGCAACGAGACGATCTACGAGAACGCTCCAATGATAATTAACACCTTATCACCTTGACATGTTATATGCGCAGCTGATCAAAGTAAGATAAGACTCTTTAAATCTTAAGCAGACTGTATAAAATTTACAGTTAAAGAATATTGTTACACGTAAGAAGATATTGCATAGTTGCAATCGATAAAAGAACTACCCATGAAATGGTATTTATAGATCTCTTATCGAGTTACGTGTTCTACTAATGTCTTACGCTCCTCTTTTCATCGTAGCAGATGGGATTTATCGACAACTTAGTTTGCTTTAGTGATTGCTCTTTTTTCTCGACCTAATTCAGTCTTATCCTATACCTCAGCCTTATCACGATAATAGGAGGGTGTGGTATACATCACGCTGTATCTGTTCCATTGAGAGATAGCATATATTTCGAGGGCACATGCCGAATTTTATTAGAGACTGTAACATTCCTATCTATTTCTAAAAAAACGTAGTAAAAACAAATAAAAATAATATAAAAGAACAGCTTGCAATATATTTCATAAATTTTTGGAAAATTGCGCACTCACAATTTTGCTGACAACAGAGTTTTTCTATCTTTCGAGAATGTTTTTGCCAATAAAAATATCGTGCTAAGAAAAAATCTTCAGCGATAACATTCAATCTAAAAATAAAAATTTTACAGACAATTAATTTACATTTATCCGCGCGCGATATAATGTGTGTAATTATAGTGACAATGAAGCTCCGGATAAATGATAAACGGAAATTGATTTTTTACTCACAAACTCTCGTCGAAACTTGCGTTACGCGTGTTAACTCATTTTTGTCGCGGGATCAACTCTCAATTATAGACGACAAGCAAAACTGCATGAGCCACGAATGAGAATAATAAGAAACAGCGTAATAAACCCGAGTAATTAAATATTACTTTGTGAAAAAGCTTTAATTTTCCATTATTTACAATTTGAAAGATACCGTTTGATTTCCGATATTTGTTGAATCAATTTCCAGATTGATGAAAAAATCTATAATTAATTTGTGACGTTTTCTAAGATACTCTGTGCACACTCGTATATCTCAAGATTAAATCGAATGGATTCGTGTCGTGTAGCGTTCCGCAAAATGCGTTATACCGAGCACACAAGTACGAATCTCCCTGCAATTATTTACGTATGCCACAGTCCACGTAACCATGTGGTCTTTCCTTTTCACGTAATTGCGGCGTGTTCCTTTAACATACAAGATATAATACGTTCGCCGCGTGATTAATGGCACGCTGCTTTGGATATTAATTCAGGCTTACACTTATCTCAGAAGATTGCGGTGTAATTTGCGAAAATTAAATTCCGCTATAATTCGTTGAAATTTGCTCATGCACATATTAACTGATTGGTCATAGAAGAGGCATAGATAGACTTTATTAACACTGGCAAGTTATATCGATTGGTCTGCCTTATTTCGCATGCACATGTGTCGCCGTTCTCTCGAGCGCAAAAAAATATTGTCCAATTTTCTTCGCTTTTATATACCTTAATATTCTACTTATTTTCGTTCTCTCGTCGCCTTTGTCCTCACTTTTACACGCATCACGTCTTCGAATTCAATGGCGTTACATAAGGTCTCGTTAAGGAGAAAAAAAATTCACGTCGCGCGCATATTGAACAAACGACGGAAACCCGCCGTTACCGGTTACAATGAAGTCCACAAATCGCGTCGAAGGTCTCGAAAGTAGGCGATCTAGTGTTCTGGCACATGTTGCTCCGATCCGAAACAAGGCGCGAGTCTGATCGTAGAGATAAATCGAGAGTAAATCAAGACGCCGAGGTTAGGGCGGTGCTGGAAATCGCATCGCTTTATTAACGAAGAACGATCTTTCTCGTGATTCCCGGCTGCTTTTGCTTTCTACATAATTATCGTGATATTGTAATTGATGAATGTCAGCATGAACTTTACGAATCAACACATTTTCTTGAATTGTTTCAATCTAATGCTTTGATTTTGTCACCCAAATGCGTTCTGCAATTTATAATAACATATTGTATAATTTGATACATTTCAAGCAGGTAAAAATAGAATGGCGACTATAATTTTGAACAAATACTTTTGTTATGTTTCTATTCAACCTTTTTTAATTGTTAAGGTCAAGTGCAATGTAAAAGTGAGAATTACGAAGTCACGTTGCGGTCAAGTAGAAAAAAAGTAATCTATCATCAAGCAGAAAGAATCAATAGTTTGCGTGAAGGAGCAAGTTGTTCTACATAAACTCGTTAGTTCACAACCATCCTTTTTACTAAAGCCGTATTATCTTGTTTAACAATTTAATATCCAATTATAATTAGGCACCGCAGGCTAACTTATCATTTCGTTTATCTGCTCCCGCGTTAATCGCTGCAAGCGCTATAATTATTTAATCCATGAATGAAGGGCAAACATTATCTCTCTCGACGATCACGGACTTCAATGCGATATTTCAAGCTGGTTGCGTGCAATTTATGGATGCGCAAAGCGCGTTTTTACGCACGTCCAAACACGGAGAGAGATCCGCGGCAAAGGGCGGCGATCTCAATTCTCAAGAGAATCTAGAGATGCACTCGTGCACAAAGGAGTCTCTGAGTTCGAAATAATAACTATGCCCGTCAGTTATCGTGCAACTCGTCCACTGGCAGACCCTTCTGGAGAAATGAGAAATCAGTAACTGCAAATTACTTCTGTACGAGTCTGCACGCTTCGCTTTGTACTTAGCATTCAAAGTAGCGATTTAAATTTCTTGCGTTGACGTCAAGTTCAAAACTAAACAGCTACATTCCGCGCTTTAAACGTATAGCGAGGATGTGGGCTTTCAGCTCGCTCTTTCGTCGCCCATTTAATGCCAAATGCTGTCGTGTAATTCTGTAATTTTATCTGTCAACAGATAGTGTTCTATATTTGAAACGTACAAAGATCTAAAATCAGACAGACGCATTTGTAGCATCAAATATACGGTCGAAATGCGCTTTCTTTATTCTCATTCTAAATGCAGAATCAAGTGCGATAGTAGCAATCTCTCGCGACAACTGTATTTACGCATGTGCGAATTATAGGCGCTGCGCTTGAAGCGATGCTTTTTTGCAGAATCGTGCTTGCACCGTGAAGTGATGACCTTGGTTTCAGCTTTAGAAACGCGCGGCTTAAAACTCGACCTCGAAAAGGCGCGAACGAAAGTAAAACGAAGTAAGGATCGCGAAGATCATTTTACCTTTATTTTACACAAATTCTTTCAGTCATTCCTTTCATAAAAATAAATTTTTATTTTTAACTTCGAATCCATAATCTTTTCATTATTATTAGATCCATAAATTAAATGACGGATATCATAAATATTTTGAAAGAAATAGTATAGCAAATAAATACAAATAAACAATAATCAATTTGAGAAAATTATCATTACATATTTTTCAATGAAAAAAATTTTGCTGTAATATAATTATTGTTTCAAATAAGCCATGATGGAACATAATTTATACTTAAAATATTTCGATTAAGAAATTAAGAAAAGTTGCACATGATAAATGTAAGAAATTGTTTAAATATGCAACTTTCCTGAGAGTTTTTTGTAGATTTAAAATTACAAAAATAAAATAAATAAAATTACTCCAACATATTAACATTCGAATAACATAATATAATGAAACGTCATCGCGATTCGCATTTGCCTTAACGATACCGCGTGTAAAATGTCAACCTCGAGAATCAATCCTTCCCGTCAGAAAAGAAACGACGTCTGTAGGTTTAAAATCGTTTCTCGGAAAGCCGAGGCCGGAAGTGAAATAGAGAAAAACGTCGCGACAGTCGTAGACGTCGGGACATCGCGTGAAGACGCAGCTATTTTCTTCGAGAGGGCCAGAGGCTCTTTCTTCGCTCTGTCACTTTACTGTCTCCCCCGCCCTCCCCCCGCCCGTCGCGACCCTCGCGATTTCTACTACGAAGCCGCTTACCTCACGCTGTAGGATCTTCCCGGTTTGGAGGTCATTGCACTGCGGCGGGTGGTTGTAGCGGGGTGGTGGTCGGCGGCGAATCGATTTTCCATGACGACGTCGCCCGCTGAACGACGTTTTCTCTATCTCCCTCGCTTTCCCTTCGCGCCTCTTCCCGTCCCTCTGTCCTCGCGTCTGCGTCCGCTCTCGCGTCCCCCGCGACACGTGACTGCGACGTGAGCTCTGCTCCTACGAGACCGAAGGGAGCATCCTCTTCAAGATGCAGGTCGATCGATACTTCACCGGCGTCCACGTCAGCCTTTCCACTCTCAAGTTGCACTTCACAGTCCACGCACGTGTTCCCCTCACGTTGACTCGAAGATACCCTGATGATATCTGACGGTTGATGAATTCCGAAGTTTCGAGATAGCCGGCATTATCCCACCGATCGACAAATACGTCTGGCAAATATGTTATTGAGACCTTTTAGTGCGCCACGATAAATTTATCATTCAGCGACCGACAATTGAGAGTGAGGAAAGGTCGTGTCTGTCCTCAAGGCTGGCAGTTACTCATGTCACGATTTAGAATCCCGCGACGTGAGCGCGATGAAATATCTTGGTGTCGATGCCGATGTCTGATACGTAAACAGTTTTCGGAGCTGCGTCCAATGTCACGGCGAATGGTGACGCTTCGCTCCTGTTTGCACGAGACTTTATAGTTGACTGGTGTTCGTTCAAGCGTACTTGTTTGTATACCTTCGTACTTTTTCAACGAGTTTTTCGCGTTATTTTTGCCACAGGTTTGTGATACGGTTGTGTCACAGCCCCGTGTCGGAAACTTCTGGAGTGATCGATGAACGATCTGTGCAAAATCTTTCAGCCGTAATTTCGCAACTGTCTGACTTGCAGGCGCAAAAAGATTCACATGACTATGACAAATCGGTCGTTTCCGATTTCCTCGCCGTTTTGTCCACGGACTTGTTAGGAATCCTTCAACTGCACCGTGAATACCTTTGGTTTCCGGGTTCGCGGATAATCAGCCTTAGAAATTCGTGTAAATGCGTAAAGTCTTTCAACAGCTGTTATGTTTACGAGACAATGGAGAAGGTCGATTGGAAAGAGAAGAGCAGAACTGTCAGAGGTTTCTGCACGAACTTGCGGCCAATAGCTGTACTTGCATAAATCTTCGTATAGAACGACAAACACAACCGCATATAGATTATACGGACGTAATTTCCGTGCGAAAATTATTTTGCACCGACACACAATGAGGTAATACGGCGGTAAACTCGACGAATATCCTAAAGATGCTCCGTAATTCACTATAATTTCGCTCACATAGTCGCGGCTTCATCCGCATCCACGAGCGGAATGAACGAGCTCGATCCCGAAGATCGAGTAGGCAGAAGCGCAGACGAGTAAAGTGAACCGTGGCGCAAGGGATGATTCTCGTACACCACGCGCTGACGTCGCGTTCGTTACTGCAATTTGCTGCAACCACCGTGGCTGTGCTCTACGTGGCTCGCTTCTATCGACCGTATCGCACTGCGACGAGGAATCGGACTGGCCGCGGAGCCGCGTGCCGCGCAGGTTTCATAAGTGCTGACGCGCGCGCACGCTCGACAATCAGGCACAGGTGGCGTCGAATTGTGCTCATAAATAGTATCGTTCCTTGCTTATTTTTTCTGAAAATTCATTCTCGCAGCAATACTCGAAAGTATAAATTAAAATTTAGTTTTTTAATTCTCCTTCGCAAAATGAAGTACAAAGGAATCTCACATTCTTTTCGTTTATAGATTTACAGATTAAACAAAATGTTTTTAAGATTTTGAAATATTTATATTTAAATTAAGAGGAAATCAAATTAATATAATAGAATTTTAATAAATTCTTTAGAATGAAATTTTCTTTCTACGATTGCTTTACAATAATACTTCCAAAAAAACAACGATACGATGTTGAAACAAAAACATTTCTCAGATTAGTTTTAATAATATATTTTTTCCATTTATTTAAAATATTTGTAATAACTTTCCCACACTAGTATATGTAGTTGTGTTTTAGATAAAACTTTTAACATATAGATCTCTTGTTAATGTTTCACAAATATTTTCTTCGAGAAATAAGACAAAACGGATTAAATCCAAACGATCTTTGCTGAAGAACTGCTTATTAAGAGAACTCGAAACTTAATAGGGTTCGTAATATCCCTAATAATCTTCAAATTCGTTTATCATACCGCACGTTCCTCAAGTCTGCACATGTCTTCTTATCGCCGGATCCGCAGTATCAAGCTCGTTGAGGGCCGGCCAATTAAGAGGGCCGCACGCAACGGACCATTGTCCGCATTAAGGCCCCGACGATCGCAGATATTTTGCTATCTCGATCGATTTCCGTCTCGATCCACCCTCGCGAGGCCACGTCAACTCGTTCTAATGGCCGCTAATTACGAACGGAGCCGCTTCGATGGGAGACAATTAACGTGCGAAATAACAATCATGCCGTTCGCACTCCCGTTCCGTTAAGACGCGGACATCAGCGTGGCATAGTGCGGACGATATTTAACGGTCGACGATGATGGAATACACGGGCGCTTATTGCTATTAAGTGACGAGAGAGACCGCAGTTTAGGAATGCCAGATTTATAACCACGCCATGACCACCAGGAGTCTGGAATCTGGCCATCCGCCACATAACTTGCGCTCAGAACGAGACGAGAGACCGCCGTGAGGATCAATCGTAGCTAGGATTGTCGCGATTTCGTTTGGTTTCGTCTTTGTATGTGTCGCGGTTCTCGCCGCTTGTCTAACAAATTCAGGACAAATTTTTTTATCAACTCGTTATTTCCTGCGCGGCAAAGAAAGATATAAAAATTAAATAGAAATTAATTTTATATCTGACAAATCATCATTATCATTCCTTCCCTTTTGAATGCTGATATTGGGATTTTTCAATCCCACAAAAGTGGGCGAAAAATTTGCGGATTGTAGAAGCGGTTGGATGTATATGTAAATTATAATCCATATAAATTTCCACGTCAAGCGCACCGTACGCGAGCTTGAGGCTTACAGAAAGCACGCGAGCATGTTTCTGCTAACGACAGGATCTCGTCGCAAATAATCCTGATAATACCGGCGCGACGTTGCGCTGATTTCGCGCGCCAACTATTCTAAATTGCTCGCAGCGCGACAATGTGTGCCGAAAGTAACGCTACCAACGTGAGATTATGCGGAATGTCACAAACGAATTTCTAAGCCGAGGGGAGGGGGGGGGTTCTCTCCCTTCAACTAGTGCATCGTAGCCGACGTGCTATTCCAGCCGAGAGACAGGGCGCGTCGCGTCCCGAGAACTCACGACATATGCAAGTTGTCGGGAAAGATTGGATGCAACACAAATTGCATCCAAAATTGCATCGAAAAATAACGCTTGCAGATTCTACTTAACTTGCTTAAGAATGTTTGTCTCGCAAACTTGCACCGATTAAAAAAAATTTTATCGTCAAAATCTATATCATAGAATTTCTAATAAATAAAGATAATTTTTATTGCAATTCCGAAAGAACGCCGGGATTGCATCCAAATGTTACAAATCTGGTAAGTAAAATCAAACGAAGCTATGCTTGTGTAGCAAGACACAATAGGCTCAAAGAGGATCAGCTTTCTCAGTGAATAAACCCGAAACTGCTGACGCGCGGTTCAAAACTATGTTGGAAGTTAGAACACTTGGATGTCAGTTCTCCTAAGATGCACCAACGATAAGCTTCCTTGATTAGCTGCAAAGCGAGCAGGGTAGCTACTGTGTGATCGTTATAAGTTACACATAACAGTGCCAGGCTGAAAATGACATGCATATTCTAGAACTATGCGGAATGTTGCTACACATCGCCAAAACGGACGCTTTCTGAATTATAAATGTTGAACATTTCTCGCGCTTAAAAGATCATCTGAACTTGAACATATTCTCAATCTAAAATCACTCATTCTTAATTTATGTTCTCCAAATGTTTTTTCTCCGCTTCTTAGATTTGAAAACTGTTCTTAACGAGATCTTATTTTTTTCACAACTTTTTCCAGTGCCGTAGAGAAACAACATTCTCTTCTTACGCGATTTCTCATAGAATTTCTTTTTTTTTTTGCAAATACAATCGCGAATAGGCAACTTAATTCTGACAACCGACACGCTTCTGCAACAACGTCGCGACGCCAGTAATTCATGGTAGATGACAGCGACGTAATTTAGGCGCCACATAAATCCGCGAGTGTTGCCGGTCAGTGGTCAAAGATGAAGCGCGATGCAGTTTCGCGTGCATTCCAGAGTGGCGTATAGCGCGCACGCACGTATGGCCGCGGAGGAACCACAAAGAAAGTCGCGTGGAATGCTGAGAGAGTCGCAGACGCGTAAATCGCTCGGCGCTCTCTCGTGCGCATAGGTGCGCACACCCGCGTGTAAATATAGAGCGCGTCCCGAAATATGTCTTTCAGTCCGCACTTAAAATCGTCGCTTCCGCTGGCGATCTTGCTACCTTAAGAGCCGCGGTTGCCGCGAGCATGGTTTTTAAACGCGACGTGCGTGTGCAGCACGGATTGATCACTCGGCAAATGAGAAAGAAAGTGCTTTTAAAAATAGTATCTCGGAAGCATAATATTTGTAGATATAATTTCAGCTCTTTTGAGTGTTAATTACCCGAGTTTTAATTACTTGTACAAACTGAGGAAATACAAATGCTTTAGTGATGTCGAAACGACATATGTATCTTAGAATTTAATTTTATGAATGTTTTCAGATAGAAAAATTAAGTACAATTAAAACTAAATTTTATATTAATTCATATTTTTATGAGAAAGAACAGTATATGTATGTTCTTTCTCAGAAAAAAAAGAGGAAAAGTAATCTTGTTCTACACAAAATTAAATTTCGCAATTTTTAAGGCAGAATTCAAATAGGTTTTAAATCTCTTCGGACATTTCTCACCGTGAAATTGTCAGATAGCTACATTCGAATCAGGAGAATTTCTCAAGGAAACGATAGAGCAAGAAGAGAGCCATCGATTGACGCGATTGTTCAAGCGTGAAGCCAGCAGCGTCGTCGGATGATAGATCGGATCCTCGATCGAGCGAAGCCGCGCGAAAAGGCCGCAGGGTTAACGGTGCACAAGCCATTGATCTCAGATTTATTCAGTCCGTGTCGCGATCTGTCTATGCCAATATATAAATCATTCACTATCGCATTGAGATAAGTATATATATATATATATATATATATATATACATATAACAATTTCTTCATAATGCTGTTTCTCTGTAATTACTTTTTAGTTAAAGAAAATAATTGATATTTTTTATTTTTATAAAACAAAAAAATTTTTTAAATTTATTTCAGAAAAGTGAAACGTTGCATGTTAAATAAGTTTCGAAACATTGAATCAACGAATTATATATACATAAATCCAGCAGTTTTCCCTTCATTCTTGAGAGAAACTTTAGACATCAGTGTACAGCAACTTATCGCGGCTGTTTAGCGATTGACTCTCAATAATTTATGGTCGTTTGTACGAGACGTGATGCGCACAGCGAAAAGTTTCTATCGCGGATTCTGGAAAGGTAAGCGGGCTTTCGCATTCACATTGTTCCTTGAAAGGACGATCCGACGAACATACCGCGAAAGTCTCTTATTTCTTCATCAATTCATTGCAATGTGAAAGGTGTGGTCAATCAGATAGGTTGGCTTTTTAACTTGTAATAAGGTTGAAGTGCCTTTCGCGATTCTCAGGGCGCAGTCTATCTATATACAAGAGAGTATTCTTCTGATCACGCGAAATAGCAACTAGCAAAGATGACGAAAAATTATTTTCGAATGTTAAAAAAAATACAAGTCCTGTGGAATTTATTTGAATAAGATTATAATTGACAAAAAGCAAAATACAACTGGATTTGTCGCAATAAACGCTTAAAATTTATATTATCTATCTGTTTTTATATAAAAGTACTTTATATAAAAAAGTAATATTAGTGTTATACGTAAAAAAATATGTCGACAGGTATAAACACTAGAAATCAAACAATTGTGGCTGACAATTAAAGGCATATCTGCTTTAATGCAAGCTCTCGAAGTTTCAGGGTTATATAATTGGATAATTGATAGAACGGCACTCGCGCTATCTTATGAGTTTAACACAAAAATCTTCGAGCCATACAATTAGAATCAATTATCCAATTATGTAAACGAAACTTTGGAAATTTGATGGTCATCAATCGCATCAACGCCAACGTTCAGACGTTATTAATAGGTTGTACATAAATTCGGCTTCCAGATAAAGATTAATTTTTTTAGAAGATTTTTAACTGCAGTGATTGCCGATATTAAGCAATTCACAATTATGAATCGGCGATAGCGGCAATCATTACGCACGGCGAACAGTCAATAACAATCGGAATGGCTTGTGCATCGAAGGTACTGTAAATCGTTGACTGTTCGTAATTGTAATCCTTGGGATTTAGTCGCAGCTGCTGCGTTCGACATGCGGCTATTTTCCGGGAATAGGAATACGTATTGTCCAGGCCATTGTAACTCTTCGGTTTCCCATTAAATGTCAAGGGGTAGGGGGGGGGGTCTTTCTTTGATCCCACTAATACTCTGTCATCTGCCGTATGGCGAGATTTAATCCTTTTTGGGTATTAATCGATTGCAAAAGTTGCCATTGTTCGAAAATTAGATTTCGAGCATTGGGAAAAATCTGTATCTTGCTTGTCTAATCAGAAAACAATTATACAGGGTGTTTTAGATCAAACGCAGGTCCTTGAAAGGGTGAATAGATCTCGATAACGTGAGTAAAAAATGTCCGTACAAGAAAATTGTGGGGTCAATAGTTTTTGAATAAAATGCATTTGAAGTTAACCAATTACGGGGTTCGCATTTTGCGCCGTCAGGAGCGGCGAGGCATGAATCATTCTCGTATGCAATACATTCTGCCACATCAATTATATATCGTTTAGAAATTATTATTAACACTATCATATTAGTAAACATTAAAATAAAACTTAATTGTTTTAAACAATCGCTTGTGTATAAGAAATAAATTCTTCAGTTACTAGAGAAACATTTTTATTGCTAAAAATAACATAACATAAAATAACATAACATAAAATAACATCGTCAAATAAATTACTAACAACTGATAAGTGAGAGTAATAGTGAAATTAGCAATAAAAATGTTTCTCTAGTAACTGAAGAATTTATTTCTTATACACAAGCGATTGTTTAAAACAATTGAGTTTTATTTTAATGTTTACTAATATGATAGTGTTAATAATAATTTCTGAACAATATATAATTGATGTGGCAGAATGTATTGCAAACGAGAATTCATGCCGCGCCGTTCCTGACGGCGCAAAATGCGAACCCCGTAATTGGTTAACTTCAAATGCATTTAATTCAAAAACTATTGACCCCACAATTTTCTTGTACAAACATTTTTTACTCACGTTATCGAGATCTATCCACTCCTTCAAGGACCTGCGTTTGATTTGAAACACTTTATATATTTGCTATATAAATCTTTCAGAGACAATATAAATAAATGTACAAATTGAAATAAATTTTTTATGCAAAAATTAATGTACAACTACGTATATATATATTTAATGTACGCAATGTTATTTGCCGGCTACGCTTCTTGACCGGCCCGCGTATTGTTACAATCGGGTTTCATTTTTCCATCGGTCCATTGCGACACATCGCTATAGATTGGAATATATAGTTATTGTCTCTGACGTTGTGAACACCTCTGGTAACAGTCGGTCATCGAGATAAAGCTCACATTACTGCGGAACGGATTCCAATCCCGTCTATTTATTGCGACATGAAGGAGGGCTGTGATACCGATGGTAAAACTTTCTAATTTAGAGAGAGAAAATGAGAGTGAGTCCAGACGAAAGTCTCGCTCTAATCAATTCCATTTAAAAGGTCTAGTTGATTTATTTAAATATTTATTTAAAATTTATTTAAACATTTACTCACACATAAAATGTAATAAAAAGTAATAATATACTTTTAGAGAGAAACATATTATAATATATTAAACAAAAGCATCCTTACTCGTCACAGGAGAACTGACTATCTGAATAAATCATGATTCTTCTACGACTCAGATTTTAATTTCAATGCTAATAATATGAAATATGCGATAAGTTATGAAAAACATAATCACTTTTAATATAATAAATTAAATGTATGACAGTTTTTTTTATATATAAAATATAATGTGACAAAACTTTTTTTACAGATAAAATATAATAGATATAACAAATTTTTCAATCAGTTTTTATGTGCATGTACACAATACTTTTCTAACAGTCATGTATATCTGACGCTCTTTTTGTATCTTTTTTAAAAAAGCTAACTTTTTATAGATATATATCTTTTTAAGTCCAAGGAATTGTGTAAATTCTACTCTTGTGTCTCTTATATCTAACCGTTAAATTGGCTTACTAATCTGTAATAACATTAACAAAATTAAAAAAAAAAAAATATTTTGTCCGTTTACTTTCATATCATATCGTTTTTTTAATATAGAATTCTTGTTGTGGTGAAAGTAATGATTTATTCCAGATTTCCCGATTTCTGAATTATTGTCATAACTAAAAATTGTCTAATGTTAAAATTTCTACAAATCAATAATCTAACTTTTCGAAATATATGACTTATTGTTATTAAAATTCAAAATTATTGTAAACTTACTCTGAAGTGAATTCTCAACTACAAATGTTAGTAGCTTTGCGTAAGTGCGCATTTTTTTGCTCATAATTAACCAATTATGTACTGAAACTTTGTCGCTTCTTAACCAATTTAGTAAAATGTTTCTTATTGCACGACCTCTTAGAAGATAAATGTATGGCATTATGTGTTTATGATCAGTCCTTTCTTACGCTACGTGCGAACTCGCCACAAGATACGACCGTGTCGCTTGATCAACTACCAATATCCTTTCATTGTCAGTATAAAGAGATTGCTCGAAACAGTAAGACTACGATTCGTTCAGTTTAAATAAATTTGATAGTTGCGATTCGAAATAGTAGCAGTACTATTGTTACAAAAGAATATTTGTTAACAATTTTCATAAATACAGGTGAGTCACCACACACCAAAAATTTCTAATTAAAACTGTGTACAATTTCAATTTATTTGATAAAAATCATATTTTTTTAGCGTTAATAAAAATTTTAACGTTTTATTTTTTCTATTTGCTTTATACTAATAATGCACTGAGAGACATTTAACAATTAATTATTATCTGGTTCAATATAAAATTTATTTATTAAATACATGTCACACATTACAGAAATCGTTACCGAAACCGTAGTTACATCAATTGCCTTATTTACATCGCATATATTACACTTTTCTGCTATATACAATCCAATTCCTTTTCAAGTATATAATTTTTCGTTGGATCGTAAACGAGAACTCTCTATCAAAGATTAATCTTGCTTTTGTTTCCTTCTCTATCTTGTTATTCTCTTCTGTATCTTAGTATCTTTTTCTGCCGTATTTTTTTCCTTCCTTACTATTGTAATTAAACAACCAGTTTTTAATGATAAATTTTGTGCAATGCGAGTTTATATATGGCACACCCGCAAGAAAAGTGATACATGACAAAATTTTTTTGTTTTATATGTAAATTCTAAATCCATCGACTTTCAATCAGAAAAAGTGATAGACGTTGAATTCAAATACTGTCCGTGTGAATACGCTACGTTTAATATTGTCGTGAATAATTAATTTTAAAATTATTGTTTAAGCATAGACTTGTGAAATTATTTTCCAAAAAATCAAGCTTAAACGTTTATAAATAATTAGCTACATCATTTAAAATAAATTTTTTTTCAGATGTTTTAAACGGAACTTAGTATAGCGTTAAGAAATATTTCATTAAATATTAATTTAAAATTTATCTTGATAATATTTTTCTCTATTCCTCAATTTATAAAAAGTGACACTGAAGTCAATCATCCTTTGTTGAATTATCCTGATTTAGTACCATTGCATTATGATGTCAGAATAAAACTCGACTTCTCCAGAAATATCCTCTACGGCAAATGCAATATTACCATCAATATTACACGTCCAATGACAAATATAAGTATACCTTCAATAAATTTCGGTATACTTAAAATTTACTTGACTAACAATGATGATAATAAAATGGTACACGTGCGAAAATATTCATTTATCAATGAAACACACATTTATATTGACTTCTCGAAGACGTCAATAAATGTTTTATTTCCTGGAACGTATATCTTACAGATGATATATGTCCGCAACATATTTGATGAAATTTTGCTCGGATCTTTATATAGAGAAACTAGAGGATTAAAAACGTAAGTGTAAATATTGAATTCTTAGACAAATAATGATTAAAATTTTATATAAAACATTTTAAATAAACAGATTAACAGAAACTGGTGTTGAG